GGGGGGGGGGGTGCAGCCACCCCAGCTGTTCAGCTAAACTCAATCTTCTCTGCAAAAACGGACCCAAGAGAAAATCCGGAAAAAACCCTGGGCATACATTCATTTGTTAAAAGGCCCAGTGGTGGATCCCAGCAAAGTTTTTCTATTACAATTTACAGATACAACATTGAATAAACATAATTTAATAATTATATATTCTCCAATTCTCATGTCAAAGAGAAACGTCCTGAACTTCTTAGTATTTTGAATTATGTTTCAGTCATTTGAAACCACGGACCCCCACCCCCTGGACATAGCGGGGGATTAACAACATTTAGCTGGGATTTAACGCTATTTAACAACATGCTATGCCCCGGAGGGCAGTGGAATTAACTAAATGTTTTTTATAACCAGGGATTTGACCCGGGATATAACAACCACTATATATGAATACACCGGGGATAACCGGGGGCTGGTGAAAAACTTGTTCAACAGTTACGTGCATTTCAAACTTTATATTTTATACTTAATCATTAGCTATAGGGACACACACATTATGCTGGAATTTCTTTTAGACTAATAGGGGATTTTTTCGAAACCAAGAATAATAGACAAAAGCGGGAATAGGGAAACGTGTCGGTATGATGTCATCGTGCAAACGTAAATTCTGTAAATAGTATATGCTCCATGTGTGTACCGTCTCTGAATATGTCGTATATGTATTGGACTAATAACGTCGTTATGCGTTATTTGTTTCTTTAACCATTATGCAAATTTCAAATAAAATTGAAAATCTTGACGAAATTTCCAGCTCCACATCCATTATATTAATAAAGTTCTTATTTTCTCCTGGTCTTGGTTCGACTTGATGTGGAGTAATTTTGGGAATAATAGGGGAAAATTTTAGGAATAATAGGATAAAGTTAAAGGAATTATGGAATGGAATAATGGGAACACTTTCGAGCATAATGTGTGTGTCCCTAGTCAGCCATCCGTTGCTGTTAATATTCAATAAGCATCAGGCATCGCCTTTCCATTAATGTTAGAATAATATAGTAAAATGCACTGCATGTCAGAGAAAACACGCAGCTTAACAGTTTTACACTTATTAAACATTTTGCCCTATCGTTTTCAGATCTCAGTTTTTCTTTTGCTCCTTAAAAAACTCACAGCAAGCTGAGCTAGACTTGGTGACTAATCTGTAGAGCCATGTAATTGATAGCTGTACACAGTATTTAAACACCGACCTTGAATACTTGACGGAAATTCAATGCTTCATAGCATGCTCATTCTTGTCATCCTTTTCAGGCATACTTGTCATTGACATCGGATAACATCCTTCATCTTCTTCATTTAGATATAAAGTATTTAAAATAGATACACTGCTTATATTTTGCTTGGAATCTTCAATCTAAATACTAAAGGATTAGTGTCACACCATACTTGTATTACTTGTACAAATGTATAATTATAAACATTTCAGACGTAAATATTGGGAAAATATATAAATGGATGTTATGCAATATGGGATTTAATCAAGTACCAATATTACTGTATTTAGACTAGGAAGGAGCAAGACAGTGTTGTTTTCAAATGTATAAACGTTTCAGACATGAATATTGAGAAAATCTTTGAAATTCTACCCAATATATAAATTGATAAAAGCCTTTTGGATTTATTATAGTCCTTCTTCCAAATATGTGGACATAAATCAATAATATAACTCGAGAAAATGTACTATAAGCATACTTGGAATTAAATATATATATAATCTGATGTTATGCAGCGACTGTGCTGAATTGCTGAAACCACAACATACAGCATGTGTCAAGCATGATTGCAACCTTGTACCCAGGATCTTTCTTTGGGAAAAATATAGCACCCAAGGGGGTGTGGGGAAAGTATCAAATTACATCAATATGCTTCCAGTGGGATATTCATTAAAAACATAAATTTTGCAAATTATTAACTTCAAAATACTTGCTAATTTTTGTTTATTTTCTTTGCTTTGAATTTACAAGAACATTCTTACATTTTTAACAGTCAGGTCGAGAAACCAAGCAAATCATTACTGCCAGTGTTCTCTCACGTTGTTATTCAATGCATGCTCTCTTCACACTCAAGCACGGTTATAACAAACGTTTATTGTAATGTTTCTAAAATACACCATTACATTTGTCCTTTGTTCTAAACGTTGATACACTTTGCACTGATTTACTTGTTATCTGATTCTTACTGGAAATGTACCAAATAAGGCATTTTAAATGTTATTTGTTGAATTTGGAGAAATAAAAACAATAACAAAGCCTGCGATACTATGGTGTCTACAGATATATAAAACATACCATCGGCAAATGCAACATAAATATTGTATAAAATTCATTCAACTTACCCTCAATACTTAATTTCTAAAGGGAAACTTCTAAAATGTCCACATTGCTGCTTTCTGAGTCACTTTCTTGCCCTAGTGCAGCCATACCTGAGAACCGCAGATTGTACCTGAGAACTGCTTATTATATGTGTAATATACACAAACAAGGAAACAATACTATTTCAAAAGAGCTCTTGTTGTTATATTCGTCTTGTATACAATCACATTTCCCCCAGTCTCTACCTGTCATCAGATATCTATATAAAACGTCTCTTATTACTTAATCCCTATTAAACCATATAATCACTAGCATATGTTACAATATCCCCCTCTTTAATTGAGAGCGTCCTCGATCTCTAGTTCATCTAAGTTATAATCCTGATATCTATCAGGTTGTCGGCGATTACGGTTAGACCTACGCAATTGGATCAGCTCCTCTGCTGGTAACAGCTGTGCGTCTGCCAGCCTCTCTCCGTGATGTATCACTGGCTCGCCTGGGAGCAATTCGACTCTCGAGTTGTGCTTTTCTGGTTGATCAACAGACAGGGTTTCTTCGATTCTAGGCTGGCGTATGTCTAGCTTAAGTCGATTGCGATGTACCACTTTTGTCTTACCGTTCCCAGGCCCCGGCTTGATATGGTAGTTTACCTTGCCCAGTCTCTTGATCACTACGTAAGGCCCCGTCCACGGTGAATGGAATTTTCGGCTCAAGCCCTTTGGTACCGCTTTGTTATTGAGCCACACCCGATCCCCTTCCTTTAGCGCTGTACTTCGGTCAACGTCATTATGTTCGTCGTACCCTTTCTTCTGCTTACTTTGCGCCACGTCAATGTTCGTTTTGATGCTGCGATGTACGTCCTTTAATGTCTTCTCCAGTTCATCACAGTAATTTGAAATAAACTGTTCCTTAACTTCAGTTTCGGTGTTCATAAGTACCAGCGGTGTAGTGGCTTCGCGACCATAAATTGCCTGGAAAGGTGAAACCCCAGACGAGGAATGCACACTGTTACGGTATGCAAACAAGGCCAGTGGTAAGTGATCGTCCCAATCATTATGGTCCTTATTTACATAAGCTGTCAGAATTCCCTTTAACGTGCGATTCATTCTCTCAACTTGTCCGTCCGTTTGGGGATGGTACGGCGAAGTTCTTAGTTTTCGCACACCGAGGAGACTGAACACTTGCTTCATGAGATCGGCCTCGAAGTTCCTTCCTTGATCGGTTAGAAGTTTACTTGGGACTCCATGTCGAGTCACTACTTCATTAACGAAGGCTTTAGCTACCGTCTCGGCACGTTGATTGGGCATTGGCACCGCCTCTACCCACTTGGTAAAGTGATCGGACATAACCAAGATGTACTGGTTCCCCCGTGCAGTCATAGGAAGTGGACCTAATACGTCCATAGCCCACAGTTCCATCGGTTGTCCAATTTCTATGCTCTGCATGGGTGCCTTTTGAGATGGGACGGGTGTTTTCCGTCTGTTGCACTTTTCGCACTCGGCTATCCATAGTTGCACTTCTGCTGCCATTCCCGGCCAATAATATCGTCGTTGCAGACGTTCTAAGCAGCGGTTTATTCCCATGTGTCCCGAACATGGGTCATCATGAGAAAGTTTTAAAAGGTCGCAACGCATCTTTCGAGGGACAACCAAAACTAGTCGCTTCGATGGAGTACCTTTATCTACACAACGGTGTAGAACGCCATCTACCATTTCTAGTTGTGACCACAACTGTCTGTAGCGTCGCCTTTCACCATTCTCCTTAGAATTATCATTATCATTTCCTTCCTCTGGTAGATCATCGCTGCAGCTTAACTTCTGCATTATCATGGAAATGCTTGGGTCGTCCTGTTGTGCCTTTAAGATTTCTGTCTTGGACCACGACGTGCACACCTCGGTACCGTTTACACCGACCATCAAGTCCTCATCCACGCTTTGGTCTGGTATCTGCGGGGGTGTCACTCGAGGGAAACGCGATAAGGTATCTGCGTTGCTGTGTTGTCGACCCGGGCGATGCTTGATTTTGAAATCGTACTCCTGTAAGGCAAAGATCCACCTGGCGAGACGACCCTTCGGTTCTTTCAATCCTTGCAACCACGTTAAACTTTGATGGTCTGTCACTATGTCAAAGGTGTTTCCGAGTAAATATGGCCGCCAATAATTGACTGTCCAAACAATGGCTAGACACTCTTTCTCCGTGATTGAGTAATTT